CATACATACAACAGATTCACTACCTTACCCTTCCCGAACCACATAAACAAACGACCTACGGGCTGCGCACCCGTGCCCTCACGGTAAGTCAATGGGATACACTTTACCTTACTCGTGTGCTAGTGGAACTGTGCCAGGGGGGCACGGCCTGCTGGAAATAGGATCCAGTGTCCTACTTGGAAGTACAGATAGTCTGAGATAGATAAAACATGACTATGGACTCTCTTTATAGTCATGACCAGGTCAGTCTATACAGAACTGGTTATGGCCTATAGAGAGTGCTAATGCAATACTATGAGGAACGATGCTTCGCTAACCACGGTGGGGATAGAGGATTTTTTTTTTTTTTTTGGGGGGGGGGGGGGGGGGGGGGGGGGCGGATAGAAGATAGATGCCTTACACTGAAAAGTTGTGAAAACTAAAAAAGGAGAAAAAAGAAAACAACAACAACTATAAAATCAGTACCACAAGTGGTATGGGTATGTTAGGCTCGAAAATTTTGAGCACCTGGGTTTGCTCATTTGGAAGGGCTTAAATAGAAGACCCGGTCACTACTGAGCTGTATTTGGGGCAATCTTTCAGCCTATAGATACAGCTACAACGGATGCACTATGCTCCCACAAGGAGCGTACTCACACCATAACTTTTTCGACTGATGCAATGACCCTCCCCATCTCAACCCAATTCACACATGCAACATGAGAGCATTCACATGAAAGTTCACACCACACGGGTGTGACGAACCACTTCCCGACCCCGTGCCATCTTTCGTACCCTTTCTTTTGCTTGTATCATACCAACCCCAGGAAAACCCCGTTTTGAGTTCTTGCTTTCGGGTGCCGCATTTTCCTTTTTGAGAGCTTTTTCGACTGCTGAGTTCTGTTTTTCTTCTTGCAAAGTCGGGAAATACATGGGAATTTACGTGCCCCTTAGCAAGCGCACTGGGAATTGGGCTCGGTAGTTGAGAATTCCGGGATAAGCGAAACTTCGACGTGTCCTTTTTGGTGTGTGAATGTTCTTGGGCGCGTCGGGGAAAACTCTCGGAATTTTGCGTGAATACGAATAGACGTAGGATTTTCTTTTCCTGCGTCGCTTTTTCGCGCGCGGATATGGTGATTTCAAATTTGAATTAGGATAGAAGCAAGCTGTAACTGTTTCGGTGCCTTTTTATTTTTTTGTTGACGGCGCCGTGCAGACAAAAGCTTCCTCCTCTCTGTCCCCCGCATCGCTCCCTCCCGCGCCTCCCTTCCCTTCTCCCTCCTTTTTCTCTCTCCCCGTAACTGTTTTTCCTTCTCCCTCTCTCTCTCCCGCCTTGCTTTCGCGCGCCCATTTCCCTTTCCTGATCATCTGAATCCTGGACCCGTCTTGCGCCACCTCTCGCGCCTTTTCTCTTCTCACCCTCTACGTTTGGCGTACGACGCCCGGTCGATCCCCCGATAACTCCCGCTCGCCAATCAGGTGCGTGGATCGATAGGACCTTCCTATCGCGCGACGAATCTGATTGGTTGAACCTTGAGTTCCGAGGGATCAGCATGGCGTTCGTAGAGCACTCTTCTCAAAGTCTTCTCCTCCTGCTTCTCCTTTTACACCTCAGCTTTCCTGTCGCCTTCTCCCCCTTCTATCTCCCCTGTCGCAACTATAAAACCCGCAAGCGCGTCCGCAAATCTCTCTTACGTTCTCGACTCCTAAGCCAGCTTCCGGAAAGCAGTGGGTAGGCAGAGTGGATTGATGCGAGTCGGAAAGTCCTGTCGGACTGACGATAGGCTGACCAGTTGCGCGCTTGATCGCCACGACGGACTGTGGGATCCGGGCGAACCATGTCGAGTTTACGACAGCGGGGTGACAATCGCAGTGGTGGGAGTTAGCACGCGACGGCCGGGATCGTCGGTGCGGGTATGAGGCTCGATGATTAGAGTTGAGGGAGTGATTGGCCCGGGGCCATAAAGGAATTAACGGCGAATGCGCCTTTGTTGCAGATTGTTATCCTTGGCATGAGTGTAAGGCGGCAACGCCGAACTTTTCTCTTTTCGGACCTTGTCATCTTCTATTTTGACTCTTTTTCCCTCGACTCTCTCTCTCTCTCTCCTCTTGAATGATGGTACATCTGAATGATTGCCCCACTCTTGAATGGGAATGAGTCGACACTCTGTGTGAAAGAACTTCTTCCGGAACTCTTCCATTAGTTTCCTGGGTAATCCTCCTATGCAAGGACCCTGTCTTCTTGTCTTGTGAACGGTGGATGCGTGTGTACTGAGTAATGCGATCCATCTTTTCCTGTGCATGTCTCATTTTCGCACCTTCCACAGTGAGTGCATGTATGAAATGTGTGACTCTTTTGTTGATTAGACGATTGTCGTCGGGATTTTGTTCGAGAATGCAAGAGTATTTAGATTTGTAGCTCTGTCTGTACTGCACATG